TTCTCCATACTGTTTTCCATATTGGCTGCACCAATTTGCAGTCCCACCAGCAGTGTATAAGTGGGTCTTTTCCCTCATATCCTCACCAACACTTATTGTTGTTTGAATTCTAAATAGCTACTATTCTGACTGGAGTGAAATGAAATCTTAGAGTAGTTTTGATTTGCATTTCTCTAATTCCTAGAGATATTGAACATTTTTTCACGTATTTGTTGGTTGATTGTATATCTTCTTCTGAGAAGTGTCTGTTGAGTTCCATTCCTCATAGAAATAGAAAAAGCAGTCATGAAATTCATCTGGAAAAATGAGACCCAGAATAGCTTAAACAATCCTTAGCAAGAAAAGTGAAGCAGGAGGCATCACTATACCAGACTTTAAACTATACTACAGAGCAATAGTAACAAAAACAGATGGTATTGGCACCAAAATAGACTTGTAGACCAGTGGTACAGAATAGAAGACACAGAGACTAACCCACATATTTGCAGTTATCTTATATTAGACGAAGGCGCCAAAATGTACATTGAAGAAAAGAAAGCGTCTTCAACAAATGATGCTGGGAAAACTGGAAATCTATATGCAACAAATGAAATTAACCCCCTATCTCTCACCATGCACAAAGCTCAACTCAAAGTGGATCAAGGACCTAGGAATTAAACCAGAGACACTGCGTCTAATAGAAGAAAAAGTAGACCCAAATCTCCATCATGTTGGATTAGGCCCCAACTTTCTTAATAAGACTCCCAGAGCACCAGAATTAAAATCAAGAATCAATAAATGGGATGGATTCAAACTAAAAAGTTTCTTCTCAGCAAAAGAAATAATCTGTGAGGTGAATAGAGAGCCTTCATCTTGGGGGCAAATTTTTACCCTTCACACATCAGATAGAGCACTAATCTCTGGGATATATAAAGAACTAAAAAAATCTTAACACCAAAAAAAAAAAAAAAACCCAAAAAACAAAAAACAAACAAAAAAAACCCCCAAATAACCCAATCAATAAATGTGTCAAGGAACTGAGCAACTTTCCTTTTGAACCTTAGTTAAAAAGCAGTTGAACGTATTGTGTGGTTATATATTTTGTTCTCTTCTATGTATCTGTCCCTCTGCCAATACCATACAGTATTGATTATTGCAGCTATATAATAAGTCCTGAAATTGGATGGAATAATTCCTTCTGCTTTATTCTTCTTTTTCAGAATAGTTTTAGCTATTCAACTTGTCTGCCCATATAAATATTAGGATAATCTTGTCTATTAACAAATCTTTTGTTGGGATTTTGATGGACCTTAATATGAAATCTGTTTATCAATTTGAGAAGAATTCATATCTTTACTATACTGAGTCTTCTATTCATGAATGTTTATTTAGTTCTTCTTTGATTTCCTTCACCAACATTTTACAGTTTTTAGCCAACAAGCTCTCTATATGTTTTGGTAGATTTAAATGTATGTACTGTATTTTTTTATTTTGAGTGAGTGTAAATGGAATTGTCCTTTAAATTTGAAAGTATTTGTTGCTATTATGTAGAAATACAGTTAATTTTCATATGGTTTTCTTGATCCCTGTGATCTTACTGAACTAACTTATTAGGTCCAGTTAATTTTGTGGATTCCGTGGGATTTTCTACCTTGACATTTTTTATTCCTTTCCCATCTGTATGCCTTTTATTTCCTTTTCTTGTCTTATTGCAAATGTTAGAACTTCTAACATGACTTTGTCTACTGATTATAAGGGGAAAGCAGTTTTCACTATTAAGTATAATGTTACCTACTGAGTTTTTGTGGATACTTTTTATCAAGTTGTTAAAGTCCTTTTCTATTCCTGATTTTCTGAGAAATTTTATCACCAATAGATATTAAATTTTGTCAAGTGTTTTTAATGCATCAACTGATGTGATCATGTGATTTTATCCTTTTTCTGTTAACATGTAGGCTATATTCCTTGTTTTTTTTTTTTTTAAACAATTGATTGATTCTATCCCTAGAATCAATCCCACTTGGTCAGTTGCTAAATTTTCTTTGCTAATATTTTGTCTTTTCATTGGTGTTCTAGACCATTTACACTTATTGTGGTTATTGATATGTTAGGGTTTAAGAATACCATTTTTTTTCACTGTTCATTCTTTTTTTTTTTTTTTTACTTTTTTTTTTTTTTTTATTGTTGGTCGTTCAAAACATTACACAGTTCTTAATACATCATCTTTCACAGTCACTGTTCATTCTTGTCTTTGTTTTCTGTTTCTTGCCTTCTTATGGGTTAGTTAGACATTTGTTAGAATTCCATTTTGGAATTTGTTTGCATAATTTTTTTAGTGGTAAGTCCATATTTTACATTGTGTGTGTATGTGCATGTGTGTTGTGTCGGTCTGTCTGCCGTTTTTATAACAATCTACCACTGTTATCATTTTAACAGTTCAGATGAAATGTAGAATTCTTACTTTGTTGTATGTCCTTTTACCTTCCCTCATTGACAAATGTATAATTGTCCTGAATATTTCCTATAGATACATTTAGAACCAATCACATAATGTTATGACTTTTGCTTCCACCATCAATCCTAATTTAGGAAACACAAGAGGAAGAAGATCTTCTTTATTTCTCATATTTTTGCTTACCATTTTTTTTTAATCTGAAAATGTCTTCATTTCCCCTTAACTCCTGAAGGAAATTTCTTTGCTTAGAGGATTCCAAGCTGATGATTTTTAGTGCTTGAAAAATGATGTGGCTTCCTGTGGCCCCTGTGATCTCTAATGAGAAGTCTTGGAATCTGAATTGCTCTTCCCCTGTAAGTAAGGTGCCATTTCTTTTTCACTACTTCCAAAATTCTTCCTTCGTCTAGGAGTTTGACTAGGATGTGTGGATTTGTGTTGGTTTATCCTGTTTGGGATTTTCTTAATTTTATGACTCTGTAGGTTTATGCTTTTTGCCAAGTTGAAGTTTTTAGTCCTGATTTCTTCGGGTTCAGTTCTCAGCATCTCCCCTCTTTTAATTCTGACGACAGACAGCGCTTTTGTCGTGTTCTGCAGGCGCCTGAGGACTGGGGGCCCTGTGCAGTCTCTCTTCTCTCTGCTCTTGGTGTGGGTGGTGCCCGCTGTCTGTAGCTCACTATCTGTCATCTTCTGTCCCCTTCTGCAGATCCCAAACACTGAGTTCCTTTCGGTGCGTGTATTTTTTCCATTCTGAGGTTCCAGTTTGGTTCTTCTTTATATTTTGAGTGCTGTTTGGATGTGGTCTGAGTGTGTCCCCCAGGGCTTCATGTATTGAACTTCAGTTCCCCTCAGGAGACAGAGTAGAGGTGGTTCTGACTGTGGTGGTCGGAGGTGGGGCCTTTGGGAGGGGGCTAGGGTCAGATAAGGTCATTTGGACAGAGCCGCAGGTGACTCACAGCCTGATAAGAAGAGGGAGAGAGGCCAGAGAGGTGCACACATGGCCTCCTTGTGCTGGCCTCGCACCACCCAGGACTCGGCCAGCAAGAAGGTCATAACCAGCTGTGGCCTCCCAACCTTTGACCTGCAGAACCATGAGTCAAGTGAATTTCTTTTCATTAAAACTTACCAAGTCTATGGCATTTTATTGTTAGCAACAGAAAATGGACCATACACCATGTATTTGCTGAGACTCTTTTTTATTAAGTGTGTTTATAATTGGCTCAGGGAGCATTTTTATGCTTACATTGTTTTATGCTTAAAAAATAAAATTTTTCCAGGTAATTTTAATGTCTCTGTCATCCTGGTTTGGCATCTGATTGCCATGGTTTATTCAATCTGATATCTTTCTGTTTTTTGATATGATAGATAAATTTTTTATTGAAACCTGGACATTTAGGGTATTATGTTGTAAGACTGGATCTTTTTAAAATCTTTTCTCTTAGCTAGATGTTTGTTTTATACTTTTTTTTTTCTTTTTGTGATACTCAATATTGAACCCAGGGCCTTGTGCATGCTAGGTAAGCACTCTACCACTGAGTTACACACCTAGCTTTTTAAATTTTATTTTGAGACAAAAAAAAAAAAGCTCATTAAGCTCCCCAGGTTGACCCCTAATTTGCGATCCTGCTGCCTTGGCCTCTACAATAGGCATGCACTACCATGTCTGGCTTAGCTAGCCATCTTGTGGCACTGCTGTGGTTGGAAAAGGTGGGAGGTGCCATCTCTTTATTGCCAAGTAGGGGTAGAAGTCCAGTTTCCTTGCTGGACATCATTGACACCCAAGGAGGCAGGGCTCCCTGGTACTACTGGGTGGAGGCGGGAGTTCTGGCTGCCCTGGCCTCTGCATTGACCTCCCTGGTAGGAGCTGCTCATTGCAGCTCCCCTTGGGCCTCTGCTGCCTGTTTGGGGCTGGAATGCAGCTTCAGTCAGTATCAGTATCACTCCCTAGAGCTGGAAAGGGGAGGGTGCTCCTTACTGCCCAGTGGGGATGAAAGCCCTCCCTCTTTACAGGGCCTCCTCTGACACCTCCTGAAGTCTGGACTCCTTAGAGGTGTGAGTGGGGCAGGGCCTTATGTCTTGCCAGAGTAGAGTAGTTGTTCCAGAAAGTCTTCTGTTTGCTTGGCTGCCTTAGAATGGAAAGAGCAGGTTGTTGTTGGGTCTTTTTGTTTTTATATATATTTTTTAATTTTTTAATTTTTAGTTGTAAATGGACACAATACCTTTATTTATTTACTTTTATGTGGTGCTCAGGATCCAACCCAGGGCCTCATAGGTGCGAGGCAAACGCTCTGCCACTGAGCCACCCCCTCAGCCCCTGCTTTTATCTTTTGGTCTGTGTCTGTTGCTGTTTCTAGGTTGCTGGTATCTTTAGCTCCCAGTCTGGGATACATGAGGCCAGAATAAGCCCCGGGAGCTCACCACCGTGGTGTTCCTTGGGTCCTGAGGTCCCAGCAGGTGTGCCTTTTCTCACCTTTGAGAGTCTTCTGTTTGTTTTCTATAATTCCAGGGGTTTTAGTTCTAAGCAGTAAGAGAAATAGGGGAAAGTATACCCACCCCATACTCCTAGAAGTACAAGTATTGGCTTGCTTTAATTTTATGTTAATTCAGGGTTAACCAGAATCTGCTCATTTCTAAGCCTGTCGGAAGTCTTTTCAAAGCATTTGTTTCAGCCTTGCTGTTCTGCACACAAGCAGGAAGTATGCTAGCGTCTGCTTACAAAATGCTCACCAGCTACTCCCTAAAGTCCTCAAAACTGCAGGTGCTTTGGGCCACCTTTCTTGTTTTTTGTGGTTTGCATTTGCAGTGTTGAAAGTTGTTTGTGGGAGGGTGGAGCACATTGGCAGGAGCAGATGCAGCTGACCTGGAGGATTTGGGAGAAGAGCTGTCCTTGAGCGTCAAGATCACCATGTGGTCTTTCCTGTAGGGAAGATCTTTAAGTCCTTTTCCTACCTGGGGGACTGTGTAGTTTAGTTATCAAAAGCCTAGGCTCTGGCAGCCTTTCTGGGTTTGGATCTTGGCTCTGCCCCTTGGCTCTGCACCCTGGTCAGGTCACATCACCTTGTAGTGTCTCTGCAGTGGGATTAATAACAGAACTTTCTTCATGGACTTTCTTCATGAAACCAAGCAGATCCTCATAAATGAGTGATCCGAGTCAGCGCCACCATATGAGAAGAACAGCTGTCACGTCCTCCTGAGAAGGACACAGCACATGAATTAACATGCGGAAAAACTGTACACATCACACGTCACATAAATGTGTACATGGGAACACATAGGAAAGAAGGGGAAAGTAAATGGGGTAAAATGTTAGGATTTTAGGCAATTTTCACATTATTTTTGTAACTTATCCCTAAATCTGAAATTATTTTAACACAAAAGCTTTAAAAAACTTAAGGGAACTAAGAGATATCTGTCTGTCCCAGGGTGATGAAGACATTGTGTGTATTTGTGGCTCTCCGCTCATCTGTTTTTTTGATGTGTCTTTTAGCGCCCAGCCCTGTCTGTGTCTTGGAGTCAAGCCTCAGGTGGACCCTAACCCCTCCCCACCCCCAGGGTACCCTCTTCTGAGCACCTCCTTTCCCTGTGGGATGCGGGCTGCCTAGTCCTGTCCAGGGCCCCTGCAAGCTCAGGTTTGTGCTTTAGCTCCACCCAAAGAGCTCACTTCCCATCCCTGAGGCGAAATCCAGCTTCTGTTCCCTGTGGTGAGGCCCTCACACTGAGACCTGCACTTGAGCCACAGGGAAGTAGTCATAAGGAAGTAGCCTCCTTCAGAGGCCTGTCCACCGTAACAGGTCTGCCTGGGTGTGGGCTGACCCTGAGGGTCTGCAGAGATGCTGTGCAGGCGACGGATGGGACCCACAGCAGCCAGTGGGAGTCACAGCAGCTACACTGCAGCAGGCCTGCCCGCAGGGGCCCTGGAAACTCTCAGGTTCAGTCAGATCATACCAACAGCCGAGCTTTAGTGCTTAACCCAAATCTTGCATGAAGATGATGTCACGGCATCTTGCTTATGACCTCAGCCTGCAGGCTTCCCTGTTAGAATGCAGTCTGGTGACCACAGTGAAGAATCTTCTGCTGTGTGGCATGTGCTTGGGCCCCAAAGAGCTGCATTTTTCAGGCTATTTCTCAGCCATACTCTATTGAACCTATTCTATAGTAGCACAGTTTCAATTATTGAAAGTTCATAGCACTTTTTTTCAAAGTTAGCAATTTCTTGATTTTCTAAAAATTGAGGTGAAATTGCCCATAACATAAAATTAACCATTTTAAAGTGAACAGTTCGGTGGCATTGAATCCATTCAGGGTTGTGCAATCACTGTTTCTATCCAATCTCAGAACATTTCTTTTTCCCCGGTAGGAAGCCCTCTACCCAATAAGAAGCTGCCCCCCCCCCACCACCACCATGGCCACCACTAGTCTGCACTCTGCAGAGAGCTACCTACTCTGGATATTTCATATAAATTGAATCATGTATTGAGACCCTTTTGGGGGGCTCCTTTCATTTAGCATATTTTTAAAATATATGTATTTTTAGTTGTAGATGGACCTCTGTCTGTCTGTCTGTCTATCTATCTATCTATCTAATTGGTGCTGAGGGTTGAACCCAGTGCCATACACATGCCAGGCAAGAGCTCTACCAATAAGCCCCAGCCCCTAGCATAATGTTTTTATAGCATGTCTGATACAGCTATTTCCTTCCTTTTTCTCTTTTTAATAAATGTTTGGTTATTATCCCACATTTCCTAAAAGAACTTCAGGTTCGACTTGTCCAGCTGTACAAAACATTACGTTTTTATTCTCAGTGCAATTGCACTGAATTAACAAGTTGATCTGAGAGGAATCAACATGTTTATAATATCAAGCTTTCCCATCTATGAACCTGGTTTGTTTTATTTATTTATCCTTCAGTAAGGTTTTATGGCATTCTTCACATGTCATGTCATTCCTGTTATTTTTGTACGTGTTTTCCTTTTGTTGCTGATGTGTAAGGGTTTGTTTTTACTAGCTTTATTGAGAGGTAGTCAATATACAGTATACTGCATGTACTGGAATCGAACTGTTGGGATGCATCTGGACACAGGACTGTATGCCCACAAGATAATGAACCTGCCCCTGACTCCAGCCTTTCTGGTTGGCTCTTTTGAAATGCATCCCTCATGCCCCTCACCCCATTCCTAAGAAACCACTGGTTTACTGTCATGGTAGACCAGGTTGCATTTTCTAGAACTTTATGTAATTTCTCTTTTTTGGGCGGGCTTTTTTCTCTCAGAATAATTATTTTGAGATCTTTCACATGGTTGAGTGTGCCGGTAGTGCTTCCTTGTTTGTTTAATGAGTGGATCTCTGTTCTTCTCCTGTGTGGCAGTGGTTCACCCCTGGATTACCTGGGCTGCTTCCAGGCTGGGCTGGAAATAAAGCTGCTATGAGCATTCATTACAGGGAGTGGAATGACCGGATCATATGGCAGACCCAGGTCTAACTTTTAAAGCAACTGCCGGACTATCTCCAGGGGGTTGCATCACATTGCAGCCCCACCTATAGAGTTTCACTTCTTCTACATCCTTGCCAACTTGACCTGGTCTTTCTTAATGGGGTCAGGCCAGTAGGTATGTGTTTATGAGTGTAGTTTGTGTTTCTTGAATAATTAATGCTATTAAACTCTTTTGCTAGTAGCATATGTTCTTTGGTGTTATATCCAAATTTTTTTGGCCTGTTTTTTATTGGGTTGTCTAATTATTCATTTGGAAAGGTTCTGTGTATTTTAAGAACAAATCTTTTGGATGTATATTTTGCAAATATGTTCTCCCAGTTGGTAGTTTGCCTTTTTATTTTCTTAACAGTATGTTTAAAAAGCAAACGTTTTGGGGCTGGGGATGTGGCTCAAGCGGTAGCGCACTCGCCTGGCATGCGCGGGGCGCTGGGTTCCATCCTCAGCACCACATAAAAAAAAAAAAAAGTTGTTTCCGCAAGGAAACTGAAAAATAAATATTAAAAAATTCTCTTTCTCTTAAAAAAAAAGCAAGCGTTTAAAGTTTGATATCCAGTTTACTATTTTTTTTCTTTTGTAGATAATTATATTTGAGAAATCTTTACAAACTCACAGTCAAGATTTTTCCTTCTAATCCTTCTAGAAGGTTTATGGCCTTACTCTTAAGTTTATGACAATGACTTATTTCAAGTTTATTTTATATATAGTATGACATATGGATCAAGGGTCACTTTTGTCATTTGTGGTCTAATTGCAGCACCCTTTCTTTACTGATTATCTTTTCTTCATGGACTACTTTAACAAATTGAAAAAATCAGTTGATCATGTATATACATGTGTGTTGTAGGGCAAATTCTTTTGTATTTTTTAAAGTACTTTTGATTGTTCTGGGTCTTTTGAATTTTAATATAAATTTGCAAACAACCTTGCCAATTTCTACAAAAAAAAAAGCCTGCTGGGATTTTGAATGAGGCTGTATTAAATGTGTGGGTGAATTTATAGATATTTGACAGCTTAACAATTTGGGGTGATCTGATCCATGAATATTATGGATATGATAATGTATAGCTCTTCATTTATTTAAGTCCTGTTTAATTTCTCTTAGCAGTCTTTTAGTTTTTAGTGTACAACTCATGCAGATTGTTTGTCAGGTTTATCCCTAGGCATTTAATATTTTTGATGCTATTGCAAATGATGTTTATTTTTACTTCATTTTTGTTTATAGAAATAAAGTTGATTTCTGCATATCAACTCGGTATTCTGCATCCTTATTGAACTCACTTGTTCTCAGTACTTTTAAAAAATTTCTTACAATTTTCTACAAAGTAATATTTTTCTGTGAGTAAAAATGCTTTTATTTCTTCCTTTCCAGCCCGTATGCCTTTTTATTTCTTTTTCTTGTCTTACTACACCAGCTAGAGCATCTAGTAGTACAGTATTGACCACAAGAGGCAAAATCAGACATCTTCACCATGTTTCAGATTTGAGAACAAAAGTCAGTGTCTGACTGCGTAAGTATAGTGTTGCTTGAAGGTTAATTTGTAGCTACTTTATAACAGGAAGTACCCTTCCAGAGAATTTTAATCATACATGGATGTTGAATTTTGTCAAATGCTTTATCTACATCTATTTGGATGAGCAAATGGTTTATCTTTTTTAACTTTTACAATGATGAACTATACTGATTCATATTTCAATGTTAATCTAAGACTTGCATTTCTGGAATAAATATCATGTGCACATAATATGTTGTCCTCTTTATTTATTTCTTTTAAGTTTACTAAAATTTTGTTAAGAAATATTATGTGTGTTCATAACATTTGTTCATAATGTGAGAAGTATTGATTGGTCTGTGGTTTTCTTTCTTATAATGTCTTGGTCTAGTTTTTATATTAGAGTAATATTGGTCTTACATAATGAATTGAGAGGTGTTCCTTTTCTGTTTTCTCAAGATTTAGTGTAGAGGAAAAAAAAAGATTTAGTGTAAAATTAGTATTATTTCTTCTTTAAGTGTTTGAAGAATTCACCAGTGAAGCTCTCTAAGCCTGGATTTTCGAAGATTTTTAACAATAGTTTGATTTTTAAAATAGATACTGTGCTATTCAGATTTTCATTCTTAAGTGAGCCATAGTAATTTGTGTGTGTCAAGCAATTTTCCATTTAATATATTTTTGAAGATTCCTGGTCATAAAGTTGTTCGTAATATTCTCTTATTGTCTTTTTAATGTCTGTAAGGTATGTGGGATATCCTCTCTCCCATTTGAAATGAAGACAAATGTCATCTCTCTTGTTTTCCTCTTCAGGCTTGCCTACCGTTTTTATCAATTTTATTGATCTTCTCTAAGAACCAGCTTTTGGTTTTATTGATTTTTCTCTATTTTATTTTTAGTTATTACAGGTTTTCCATGATAGGGTTTTCTTTTTCATTTCATTTGTTCTTGTGGTACTAGGGATTGAACCCAGGGATACTCTATCACTAAGCTACATTTGCAGCCCTTTTTATTTCAATTTTGATACAAGGTTTTGCTAAGTGATCCAGACCAGGCTGGAACTTGCAATCCTCCTGCCTCAGCCTCCTGAGTCGCTGGAATCACAGATATGCACCACCATACCTGGCTCATTCTGGCTTTTTAAGGTGGATGTTTTGATCCTCAAGTTGAGATCTCACTTCTTTAAATTCATTTAATGCTATGAATTACCCTCTAAACTCTGCATTAACTGTATTCCTCAAATTCAATCATGTTTTTTATAATTTTAAACTCCATTCATAATACTGTCTAGTTTCTTGTATGATATCTTCTTTGATCTTGATTTATTTCAGTGTATGATTTTTTCATATATTTGGGGATTTTCTAAATATTTTTCTGTTATTAATTTATTAAATTCCATGTGATGAAAGAACATATCCTAGAATAAGGAAAGCCAACTTTTTTTTTTTTAAAAGGCCTGAGAGTAAATATTTTTGGCTTTGTGAGTCACATATGATCCCTTTTTCATATTATTATGTTTTTTACCCTTAAAAATATAAAAACTATTTTTAATTCTTAGATCCTACACAGATTGATGACTGGACCTGGCCTGTGAGCTCTGGTTCGCTGACCCCAGGCTGGACTGGGACGCTTTGGTGGATGTTCCCAGAACACTTGAAAAGAAAGTATGTTCTGCTGTTGTTGCGGTTGACAGTTCTACAAATGTCAACTTGGCCCCAATGATTGATAGTATTTATTCAAGTTTCCTGTGCTTTTATTAATTTTATGTCTATCCATTCTTTCAATTATTGAGAGATGGGAATTGAAATTTCTTTTTTTTTCTTTTGTCTTTCTCATTCTTTCTTAATCAGATTTGTAGTTATACAGTAGTCGGTTTCATTCTGACAAATTTATACTCACATGGAAACTGATTTCAGTTCGTGATCCTCTTCTTTCCCTCCAACCTTCCCTCTCCCATTCTTCTTCCTCTACTCTGCCAGACTTCCTTCCATTCATCT